TCTCACTTGTTTGCCCAACGTGTAACTCCAAATCTATTATTGCCACTGATCGAACCGCTTCTTGCATAGCATGTAACTTGACCTCTATTGTACTACCTCGTATAGTCAGTTAGGGTAACCAAACTCTTATCTTATGTCAATTTGTCTCTCTGCTGACTACTTCCTTTTTCTTTTTTCTTTTCTTCTTTTTTTTTCTTTTTTATTTCTACAATTGAAATTGCGTAGTTTAGCTACCAAACCTTTATTACAAATACCGTGCTGTTTACTCGAGTAGAAACGTAATGCTATTGCTCACTACAACTGTTGTCATGTTTCATTATTCCGTTGTGTTTTTGACGTATGCCGGCAATTGCTGTTGTGGCATTGCGGGTTACCTTATATACTTCTGCACGACCAAAAATAAAGAATTTAAAAAAAAAAAGATTTACCTCTTTACAACTCACTGTTTACAGTATTGGCCCAATTATGTTACCTGTATAAATATGAAATTATTTGGTAAAAAAAAACAAAACAAAAAAAAAACACAGTTAGGTTCATACATTTTAAATAAGCTCCGAAGTGACCTACAATTTGTTCAGCATTTTACAAGGTCAAATTATCCCATAAACTCTCAATAATGTAATTCACAGCGTATTTTCTGAAATTAGATAATCTAAAGAACTCAAAATGAACTCATATTTTTCTCAATGATTTGATCTAGGTAGGATCTTCTTTTTTTTTATGTCTTTATCGCCTGGTGCAATATATGATAAGAAATGCACATATGAAATGCTGATTCAATTAGGTTTTAAAACGGTAGCAGAACATGTGGGCATATCAGCCATTTACACATATTTAATTTATAATATATATGTCTAAGATTATTTTTAAAATGAAAATAACTTTTGCTTCTTTCTTGGGGCTACAGATCACCTGATTTGGTGAACGACATTCTGCATGTCGATCATATGAGATATTTGTATTAGCGAATTCAGTAGCTTCTTACACTAATCATTAGTTTTACACATTAGTGACTTTAACGGTTAGGCAGAGCTCTGGTACATGGGCATTGCCCATGGTCCTAAGCCATTCTTTTCTAGAATTGTGATAATACTGAGTCTGTAGTATATGTTATACAAAACAATGAATCCCTTTTACATGTTCAACTTATGTACGTCTTATTCTGCAGCAAATAAGTCACATTATGTCATTAAATACCTATAATTCAAATACTACAATCTCTATACTCTCTGTGTACTATAAATGCTTGGTAAATCTCAGTTTAGTTTATTATGATCATTTTCATCCACACCACTTTGATCTCCAGTAACCTAATATTTTGGCATTTTACAGTTACCAAATTTAACCAGCTCTCAAGATACCCAACTCTCTTTTGTTGTGTTTTATGAAGACAGACAGACAGGCAAACACTGTCTGTCATAATAAATAGTAACCTTGAATTGTATCTCCATAAATATTTATCCTGCAGAGAATGTTACCCAGCTACTCACCATTCATTAATTCATTTCCCCTGTAGGATATGTCAGTGACTAAGCAGTTGTCTTGCTTTTTACAGTGTATTATTTCTGATGATAAAGTGCATAGCCTGTATATGGTTCTGGATAAACAAAAAATACACAAAGTCTTAGGAATTTACCTATGCAGTATACAAAGAATGTTTTTATTATTTTATAGCTTCTACTTTAAAATCATTAATACAGAACTGTCACTTCCCAGAATTTTTCATAGTGTAATTACCAACAGCACAGAGCTTCTAGTGGAGGTCAGTGCTAGCAGACAGGGCCCCCAGTAGGTCCGGCTCTCAATGGTCCCATGGTGCCCTTCCACATTGGCACCACCGGTAGTTCCTGCTGTGAAATGGAAGGACATATAGCTGCAGGGAGGTTCATAGAGGTTCAAGATGGTGCTGAGTCCATAGGTTTTATTTATGGACCTCACCTTGGCACCACCCACAGATTGGAATTGGTCACTTGACCTGAGCAGTCTATAAAGCCCCAGTGAGAACCCTAGCAGTTTGCTACAGTTTGCTGTGACTCCTTTCTTAATTGCTCCTGTTCTGCTGTCCAGTTCCTGTCCTATTCCAATGGTTGCCTCCCTTAGATTTATTGACTTTAGCTTGTTTCTGACTCTACTACTTTCCCGCCAGCCCAGACCCACAGGCCTTTTGACTACACTTTTGTCTCACTCCTTGTCATATATCTTTATCTAATAAAGTCCCCACAATGTTTCAGCATTCAAAACCTCATATAACATAACCTTAAAACTTATAACAGCATGCCCAAGTCGGGATGAGGCGGGGTCATCACCAGTGATGCAACCCTTGTCATTAGCAAAAGGGGCAGCTCCACCCACTGAAATACTCCACTAACATGATGAGCGTAACTAAAGATGCACTCACATTGTGATGCCTGTGGACAGTTCCCATCTGTCACCAGTTGCAGGATATAAGGAGAAACAGGAAAGGACTCCAAGATCAGGAGGCCACTAATAGTTCACATTGACACTAATAAATACACAGCAAAGCTTTTGGCTGTAAATGTCCACAATAATTGAAATGGCAGCAGAGCCAACCTGACATGAAGTGTATGGCAAGAAAATGTATAAAAACAAAACAATTTTTTTTTTTTTTTAAATAAAAGCATGTACAAACAGGGTTCAAGAAATCAAAAGAACTCCCAACTTATTGTAGTTTGCTCCAGTGGTTAAACAGTGCATATACTAGTCTAGCTCACAATGGCGAAATATAGATTTAGATGCAACCAATTTGCTTTTCCATTAACTTATATATTTACTATTCTTTCTTTTACCTCTAATTATTTGCTAACTAGCATATTTTTTTGTTAGTATAATTGTAACTCAGAATAATTCTTAAGGAAAAACACTCTTCATTTGTATCGACTTCTCTAAATATTGCACAGATGCCTTATTTATTAGTGAAACCCATCTTTAAGTCAGAACAGTAGTATTGAAAATGTGCTTTCTGCATCCAACCCACATCCCACACCACATGTTGTTATGCTTTTCTTTTACAGCTTATTTTGTTGTCGAGTTTTTCTTTCTTGTGCATTGATTACATATATTTCCTTCTGTACACTTTAAGATAATAAAAGTACAATCGTGTTTTATCTTATTAAATAATGTGGTGTATTTATTTCATTCGTTTTTTCTTTAGTAGTAATTGTTTTTATTCTTTCCAATTAAAACAAGTATCCTTAACTTGGCATAAGAATAATTTGATTTCCTACACTTGTACAGAAATCTTTTAGTAATAATGTTTTTAATTTGCCCTCTCCTCGATGTTATTGATTAATTTTTAATAAAGTGGTTCTTTATTTAGTATTACAAGGTAGGTAAAGAAAATATACACCTCATGTAAAAGTCAAATGCAAATAAAGGTATATTGCAATACAAAAAATGTTGAACAATGGAATGCTGGTTATATCTGAAATGTTATATAAATGTCACTTTATGAATGAATGGCAGGGAGGGAAAAAAGAAAAAGAGCAGGAGACATAAAGGAAAAGGCAGAAACCCTGTCTAGAAAATTTAGAAATGTAGGTACACTGAAAACCAGGATGGGGGTGTTGGTTAATGAAGACAATGAAGGCAGGCATTTTAAATAACTATTTCTCCTCAGTATATATTAAGGAAGAACCTATGGCTATAGATATACAAATGATTGCTGCAAAAAAAGCTTGAAGAAAATTTGTGATTGAATGACTTAAGACAAGGTGCTGCAACAACTAGTGATGTACCGAACGGTTCGCCGGCGAACGGTTCCTGGCGAACATAGCATGTTCGCGTTCGCCACGGCGGGCGAACATATGCGCGGTTCGACCCGCCCCCTATTCGTCATCATTGAGTAAACTTTGACCCTGTACCTCACAGTCAGCAGACACATTCCAGCCAATTAGCAGCACAGCCTCCCTAGCAGACCCTCCCACCTACTGGACAGCATCCATTTTAGATTCATTCTCAAGCTGCATGCTTAGTAAGAGGAGGGAAAGTGTAGCTGCTGTTCATAAGATAGGGAAAAGCATAGCTAGGTTAGGGATAAGGGTATGCTTTTTTTTGGATTTTTTTTTTCTATCTAATGTAAATGCACTTAGTTGTCTGCCACTGCTGCCAGCTTCTGTGTCAGGCTCACAGTGCCCATTTCCCCAGTCAGTGCCACCAATTACATCTGGTGTCACAATAGCTTGGATTTAAAAACAAAAAACTTTTTTCACTGTTATAGATTGAATAGCAGTCAGTTTTCTGCCACTGCTGCTAGCTTCTGTGTCAGGCTCACAGTGCATACTGTGCCCATTTCCCCAGTCAGTGCCACCAAATACATCTGGTGTCACAATAGCTTGGATTTAAAAACAAAAAACTTTTTTCACTGTTATAGATTGAATAGCAGTCAGTTGTCTGCCACTGCTGCCAGCTTCTGTGTCAGGCTCACAGTGCATACTGTGCCCATTTCTCCAGTCAGTGCCACCACTCACTCACTGGTGTCACAATAGCTTGCATTTAAAAACAAAAAACTTTTTTCACTGTTATAGATTGAATAGCAGTTAGTTGTCTGCCACTGCTGCCAGCTTGTGTCAGGCTCACAGTGGATACTGTGCCCATTTGCCCAGTCAGTGCCACCACTCACTCGCTGGTGTCACAATAGCTTGCATTTAAAAACAAAAAACT